AGCGTGCATAATCATCACTTTTTGAAGCAACGCACCAGATTTGAGTCTATTAGAACAGAATGCAGTTTAATTTTGACAAATACTCTTAACACAGTGTTAGCCTCGTGGAAGGCAATTTGTTATTCATGGTCAATTAATGCAAAAGCCTCATGGGATTTAGCCTGGAAAGAAACAGCGCACCCATTAACTCAGATAGCTATTTTAGTTCCTTACTCAGAAGGTACCAGCTGGTGGGCAGAAAAAAGGGGAAGAACTGAACGCTGAATGATTACAAAAAAAGTTATCCTTGCTAAAAAATACATTCTCAGGGTTAAAAGTGATCTATATACTCTTAGCACAGGGTATATCAAGATATTCATGAAGATAACTGCACTGCAATCATGGAAGCTGCATCAGATCTACAGCAGCAGAGGGAACGACTGACTGGCCGTAAGGCCAGCAGCCACTAAGTGAAGATCTGGTGACTCATAGTTTCCAGCTGCACAAATCTTTGCTAACAGAGATCACAAAATAAGTAACTGAGCAGGAATTTTTATTTACGGAAACAGACCTCTGCAGGATAACAAAAAGGCCACAAGAAAGAGAAAAGCCATAGCATCGGGACTGCCAGCCCTTTCCACTAGGGCGTGGTGAGCAAGACAGTTAAACACGTAAGCTTATGGACAGGACGCTCCATCACCGAACTGCCCTAAAAACACACAACCCAAATGCTTCTTTGGCAAGAAAAACCTTGCACCCTCAGCTCCAGTGCCCCCTCCCCCACCTCCTCATTCAAATCCTATTTTTAAGCGATCTTAGTTAAACATTCTTCTCATCTGTCCTACAAAACGATGAGAGGATTAAGGGACAGGCGTTTCTGCACTCCTGCAGCTTTAGCATCTGCCTCATTGTCTTCCGTTCAAGCAACCTAATAAGCAGCGATACCCAAACTACCGTATGTCGCATCCACCTCCGCCCCGCTCCTCTCAAACCCAGAGCCAGAAGTGTTTGAGCAGGTGCCTCAGAGGAAAGAAACGATGTGTCAGGCAGCTGGGGAAAAAGGGTAACGATGCGTGCCACAGATATTAGCACCGCAAACCCACCGCTCGGCAGACGCGATGCTGAAAGAGCTCTCCACTACAGCAGCAGCAGCAGCTGCCAGGCTGGCGCCTTTAAAGCCACCAGCACGGACACCGAAAAACTCCTCAGGGAACCGGGAGAAGAAAAACGCACACGCCAAGGCAGCCGACACAGGCACCATTATCCCACGCGCAAGAGCCGTGGGTGTCCACGCTGGCACACACGCCCC